TTGTTTTAATTGCCAAAACCATTAGCTTTTGTATATACAGTAAAACCAAGATAAAATGCTATAGTTTAATCATTGAATTTAAAATAAGCAACAGCTGTGCTTTCTAATTGTTTTGATGGTTTCCATTGTGCACATTCTCTTATATTTTAAATTAGTTTCCCTATGTAGTTAAATAAAGTTAAGTTCAAATTTACATTTTTGTCTCTTTACATTGCAACTTTTTTCATAAATTAGGATTGAAATAAAACAATAAATCTAATCATATAGATGTATCTGTCCATTTTACATTTACATGATCACATACCTGATATGGTCTGATTTATTGTATTTTGTATAACATTATCAAGAGTAATCACATCACAACGTCACCATTACTGTATATCTAAAAATAGCAACGATAAAAAAATAGCATTTCTCATAAAAACAAAATCAAGCAGTTACTTTGTTTGGCCAACAGATGGCACCAAGTACAAAGTAAAATCCAACAAGAATCCAAATTGAAGTACTGAGCTAACATTCAAATTAAGTAGACAAAGCATCCTTGCTTATGTATGTTCATTTTATTTTGTATTTATATTTGTAGCATTTATCTAGTATAAGCCTAATTAACACACTCACATAACAGGTGGGTTATCATTTCAGAGGTGCAAGGGCAACAAATGAACATTTTTCAACAGGATTGATCATATAGAGCAATTTATATTTTTGATGCAGGGAACAGCCCCTGTATGACCACTTAAAATATTGTAAAACCAGAACACTTACTGGCTGCAGTTCTTTTATCAAAAAGGCACAGCAAAAATTGCTCAAAGTGAAGATGAGGAACAGTGTACTGTATTTAGAGACCAAATAAGAATGAAAGATTCCAAAATGATCCCATTGCCCATTATTCCTTGTTTTCAGTGTGTCTGGGTGTGTCCCTCTGGTGTTGTTAAACGGAAATAAAAAATAAAAATTAATACAATCAGTCTTGAAGACAAGATGAAGCTCCACGGCAGAAACGTTGTATTTTCTTTCTTCTCTTTTCAGCATAGAATAAACCTATAACTTGTTCCTATACTGCACCTTATGGAGCAGATTTAGGTGTTTCCAAAACCATTAGTTCTGCTTATATCATATTTTCCTTTTTCAGATGTTCTCTAAACTGGAATTCTAAGCAGAAGGTCCTGACATTTGCTTTCAATAGATTAGACAGGGATCTATTAATGTTTTGATAGTTATCTTAACAACAAGCTTAAAAACTGTCAGAAGTCACTCTTAAAACAACAGGATATCATTAAGAATATAGCTATACCCCATGTAACTTGTTTTTTTTTCTGTTCACATGATTACAAGTATATTCTTATAGTAAGCCAGTAAGTGTCAGATTCAACAGCAACAAAGAAAGAAAATAATAACAAAGTGTCAGAAAAGAATATTGTATAACACAGCATGTCACTCATAGTAAATGATGTTCCCATCTTCAGCGCCTTTCTTCTGTGCTATATATCTTTGTTAGCAATATTATTTAGGTGAATAACAGGCTTTTCACTCCTCTTCAAATATACCGTCTTAGCAGGTACTGTGTAAGTCAGTGATTTCAGGAATTCTTGTCTCAACTTTGATTTGATTTTCACCCATTTTATCTTCCTAAACCAGCTTGCTTGGTGTTGCTCAAATTATCAGCGATATCATCTCAATCTCCCACTTTTGTTAGCAGGTTATCTTGGTGGCTTTTATCACAGCACACATATATAGGCTAACGCCCACACATTTCCTTTAACTGCACAGAGCTCTTATTTCACATGGGCTTATATGCTAAATGCAGCGTTTCTTGGATTAGGCTCTGCTGCACAGTATGCATGGGTGCTGGAAAGGTACAACTGTAGTTTTCAAGGAGACTGAAAAGATTAAAAAGTCCGACAGATTCATGATAAGTGCTTATACACTGTACATTTCCAATGAAAAAAGCAAGATATTATTGTACTGCAACATGTATGAATTAATCAAATGTATGTAAATAAAATAAATAAGTATTGAAGTATTAATCCCATGTGATATATAATATTTTACAAATGGCATTACAGTTTGAATACTCTCAATAAAGATAAACTGTAAAAATAGTGCAATATACTGTGCAGGTAAAGAAATGTACAGTATGTCCCTTGAAGACCTGTATGTTACACTTTTCAGACAAAATTAAGCAGACAGACTTCAGAAGAAAATGACCTAGTTATCAATCAGATTGTATATTGTATAGTTTAAGCAAATATTAATATAACAATCACAGCTGAATGTACTGTATGAATTTGTAAACACTGTTCTTTCAATACTCAGTTTATAAAATGACCACTGAGCTGCCCTTTAATTTTACTGTTGACAAGAATTTATCAGTACCAGAGAAACATGATTTGTACAGACAAGAGACCATAAGGATGCTATTCATTTTGGTACTGTATTTATCTTACCCCCTTACTGAGAAGGACGCAGAATTCATGTACAATTGTATAGCCCATAATCTGTGCAATCCCCTTCAGTTTAATAAAAAATAACTATATAAAACTATATAAAAAATAGTGTAGAAAAGTTCTATTAATTGTATAAGGATGTGACATTGAGATGGTCACATGATTATAGAAACATACATACAGTATTTTATGACTGTCTTGAGTTCCCTGGTGGATGTTAAATCTTTTCTCAATCAACCATTGTGCTGCACAGTAGGCAAAATGTGCTTGATTTAGTTTACAGTGGGGTGCCTGATGTACTATTAACAGGGAAATTATTTACAGTTTTGCCAGTAACTCTGATAGCTGGAGTATTCACCACAGTGAAAGTCCACGTTTCACTTTCTGCAGTTTCATAACCACTTGGATGAAATAATTATAGGAATGAAATTTCGGAAGTGCATTGTTTGCCTAAATACAGTTAAGGTAAATTGTTTTCAGTGCTGTTAGTTTTGGCTTTACTTATGCTGTTGCTATTAGATATAATGTCAGAATGCCTCAGATGATTTTGACAAACTACTACAAAGCTAATGAGAAATATTTGATGAGTTTTGTGAAATCAGATCATTTAAAAATCCATCCTTTATTAATGATCCATTTATCTTGGTGTGCGTCACAAGTCTGAGCCTATCCCATGTGGATAAGACACAAGGTGGGACTGAGAGAACATGACAGCTTCTTCTTTGTATGGGACACCAATCCTTCGCAGAACCACGCAGAAAGAGACAATGCAGAGTAGCCAGATCAGACAGCAAGTCTGTGGGAGATAGGAGGAAACCGAAATACCCACTCAGTGAAAACCCACACAAAAAGCATACAAACCCCTATACACAGATGGCTAAGGCCAGAATCAAATCCAGGAGATGTGAGACAGAAGCAGTAACTCACACCCCACCAATTTAAAATTGTCAACCACACATGTGGTTATTTGCTGTTTTCATCCTGGCAGATTTTAACCGTAGCTTTAATCTCATTTAAGACACAATATTTTTATTAGTTTAGAAACACAGCTTTCTAAATTAAGTTTAAGTCTGAAAGAATGGCAGAAAGAATTATGGCAGTCACATACTGGCTGAGGAATCCTTTTTCTACGTCAGATTATTACTTGTGCTTTTGGCGTTTGTTCCTGTAACTGTATTTTTCTACTTATTCACATAATAAACAAAGGTATTTTGCAGCCTTCTCATTTGCAGAAAACCTTTTAAATACTTGCATGATGATCCCATGATAGAATATCTAAGTATTTTTCAGTATAGTGTGCTTCTTCCGCATTTTAAGCACCTTGTGTTATGTTCACTTAATTTAATTTTCTTTAGTTAGTTCAAATACAGCCAGTCATAAAACTAGTCCACATAAATTTTACAATTTTTATTTTCCCATAGAATTCATAGAAGTGGTGCCATTGCTGTTTATGAGATTTACAACAGAATTGGGTGACTTGTTAGATTCTTAAATATATTTAGTGTTTCATGTTTGGGATCAAAAACACTAGCTCAAACCAAACTGTATAGACAACTCTTCCGTGGGCAAGATTCATTGCATTAGACCAATAAATGTGGTTTCCTTGGTGAGATATTACATATGTCTTACATTTTGTTTGTAGGTGCTTCATTTCCATTGACCTTGGACTTGTCTCTATGCCCACTCAACCCCAGTATAACAGCTGTATGCCAAACTTCGGCTACATGTGCATTTCTGTAAAAGAAAGACAAAAGCCTTTTATATGGGATGTTTAATGGTTCTTGTGATGCTTTGAATATTATGCTGATCTAATTAATTCTTTCAAAGACATTATCCAAATGATGAAAAATAGGCTGCCAAGCACACTGAACTCAGTACTAGTCATTCCAGTTCTTTTTTTTTCATGGGCAGGAGAAACAAAACATCAAGCCTTTCTCTTTGGTGATTTGGTCCATTTTCCAGACTGTCAGTCTGTCTGTCTGCATGAACTCTCACTGAGCTGTTTTTTTTCCTGAATAATTTTGACGCTAGTCTGTTTAGCAGAGTTACGACTATAAATATAAATAGGCTATACTACCCAAGTGTAGCCCAGCAGCCATTAAATTTCCATTTTGATTCTGTTTATCTAACTGTTATTTTATTTTATTCTATCTGACAAAGAGTTGGTGGTGCTCAGTATGAAATTAAACGTCCACAGTATTTTACACAATGGGTGTTTTTTATCAAAGGTGGAGAAACTAATTTATCAATTCCTTCTGTACAGTAGATCATTGACTGCCCCTCATTGCTGCGGATGATTGTTTGCCCGAACCTGAAGGAGACTGATAAGGTCAATTCATGCTAGCAGGTCGAGCAGGTGTAGTCCGGTGGGGATGTCTGGCCATGTGCTGTGCAATCTGGTCCCGCTGACCTCTCCGAAACTCCTTCAATGTATTTCCTCATTCTGACATGTTTGGGTCTCAAAGGGCTGGGTATCTTCCCAGATATTCATCCTCCATCTGGTCCTGCTACAGATATATATTTATTTAATAAAAACTCAACTTACACACTCTGTAGAGGAAAGTTTAAATGTCCTTTTATTAAGATCGTATAACAAAATGGAGACAATAACATTAAGAAAATATGTCTTGATAAGATGATAGTTGTAGCCCAACCCACATTTGTACTAGGTGACTCAGACTATAAAACCATTGACAGTTTGACGCTTTACAATATTTGCATGTAGTCTAACACACATCAGGTATCTTTCTGCAGTGATAGACTGGAATTATACTACAGCTCCTTTCACAGTGGGGTGGCCTCTTTTGGGCCCAGAGGATAGTGATAGTTTGTTGAGCTGTCTGACATAATTTAAAGGTTAAATGGAGGGTTAACTGTTTCCTATGTTGATGCAGTTCCTTTAATAGCAGGCATGAATAGCATGAACATGAAGCTCTGAGTCAACATGTCACAGAGGCAACATGTCTATCACTCAGTCTGCTCGGTCCTAAAAAGCCAGTCCATCACAGAGGTATTAGTAAGCAAAAGATCCTTAGTTCTTCTCCTTCTGTGGAAGAACTCTTCACTTCTCTATTCCACTGGATGGATGGATTCCTGTCAAACTCCTTTTAGTTCTCCCTCTCCCTTCCTTGCTTCAGTTTTGATTTCCTGGAACCCCTGCACTCAGCTGGGCTTCCCGTTACCTGGACGATATACGGTAAATTCCATGTCTCAGAGGCGTACTGGTACACCATAGCCAGCATAACCACTGGCACCCGGTTCCCAACGATAAACACAAATCTACTGCTCTGTACAGACCACAAGGAATTCACATTAATCCAGGAACACAGTACACACCAGAAAAACAAATGCTAAATTCTCCCTGGATCCATCTTCCTCTTCTAAATCCAATCCATTAAAAAAATCCCCATAAGTCTTCATCATCTCTTTCTAACTTGTTAAACCTAGAACTGGTGTTTGGGCTGCCAACTAACAGTAAAGCAGAGGAGTTCCATAAACTCTATATGAATCTGGATTCCAATCATACACTTTCCTTTCCTGAACTGTGAGAGCTTAGACACAGCTCCCTGCTGTCTTCACCTGACTGCTCCTACTCCTGAGGAATGTCCAGTTATACACAGGGCCAATCAGCTAAACATTTTTCTGGCTGTGGAACTGAGAAATCCAATCAGTCAACGAAGGTAGGCATGTCCACTTTACTCTTAAGACAGAAGAGGCTTTAACTCAGTCTCCACATGAGCAATCACTGAATATAAATTATTTCGCAAAGTACTTGAGCTGTGGATCAGTCGCTTACAATACTGCATTCTAAAATATACTTTAAAAGAGTTGCTTTTTTTTAATTTTTCATATGTATTATCTTGAGATACGCGTATTTCAAATATACTATTGTTAATGTGCGCATTTGCCCACACACTATTTTCTGTTACTTTGAAGTTAGTGATCACGTAAGGGAAATGTGTACTATCCATTGAGTTCTTTTAGTTTACAGGCAACAAAAAATACAGTATGTTCTGTCTTAAGAATACTGTAATTAGAGATCCAAAATGCACCTTCGGCTCTACTACACGAAACGTTGTGTTCTCTTTCTTCTTTTTTTCAGCATGGAATAAACCTATTACTTGTTCCTTTACATTACCAGCATACCCTCCTCCAAAGCCCTTAAGTGGATCATCAGTGCAACAGCGCCTCGCTTTAGCGAAAGTAGTGGGAGCACAAATATGACGTCACTGCGGCAGTTACCATAGCGACGATAACAAGCGAAAGGTAGGTAGGGCATTTTTTAATCAGTTGTGAAGAGATAAGTAAAATTTTGTTATAGGTAAAAAGTAACAAAAAAACATAACAATTATCTGTTTTGAAGTTAGCCCGATTTACTTTCTCCAAGATAAAACCGGTACTTCGGCTGTGTTTAAAATGTAACTCTACAGCTGCATGCTTTCTGTTTTAGTTCAGGATGAAAAGGTTCAAGTGAGACGCTGAAACACACAGTCTGCACTGTTGCAGCGAAAAGAAATATTCACAGCAGGAAAACATGTCCGCGACGGCAAAAAAAGAAAAGTTCGTGGCTCATAACTGGAAAAATGTGCCTGGATCAGAACTGAAAAAGATGTCCCTCCTGCAAAAAGCTCGGTACCTCGCTTACGAGGAGCCGAGCAAGGAGGTTGTAAACTCAGTTTTGATCTCTAAGCAGCGGCTTCGTGGGAGGGCACCCGTCAGCAGAAACCCGCAAAAAAACCCAGACCCAGAGGCAGAGGAGCAGCAGAGGAAGCAGGACACAGTGATCGGGCAGCTAAGGGCTGCGGAAGCTCGCAACAGGGTGCGATCGATGAGAGTACGGTACCAAAGCATGAGAGTGGGTTTGTTTTTGCATTTTTTTATCATTCTTTTTTGTTTCTCTTTTACATGTTTTTTCCTGATTCGACACAACGCACAGAACGAACATGATTGTGTTAATTCTTTGCAAAGTTGGGCTGCATTAATCGAAGTCCCTGTCTTATACTCTATAGCTCGTCACATCTGGAATTATAAGTAAACTAATTCACACTCAAACATAGACACGTACTGTATGTATAAAAGCCCAACTGAATACTTGGTCTCAAAGTCTTATATCCTACAGTGAGAACAAGGACAGTCGTACTGTAGGTCTCTATGCCATGTTAGCAGCTTTTAAAGAGCTGTCTCCCATATAGCTTTTTTATTTAATCTATTTTTTGTGTGGTTTTTAGAAGGCATGTACAGTAAGTGCTAATTGTTAGTATGTGTTGCAAACCGGAACATGGGCACTTTGACTAAAGCATGAGAGCTATGCAGAAGATACTGTAGGATTGTTTGTGATGCTAAGTAGACTAGTAACTTAGGTCTGGCTTATGAGGCCCAGTGGAGTTCAATATTGTAGCTCACCGAGTATTTTGCTTTGAGCAGTCAGCCTCATGACAATGGGCAGTATAAAAAAAAGTTTTTAAAACATTTTAGAGTTTATTTAACTGAATGCTATAGTTACAGTCATCCTAGCAACACAAATCTTACTGAAGTGTGGATAGGTTCTATCATCTGCTTTATACAGAATTGTGACTTTTATGTGTTGAAAAATAACAATTTTGTGTTTCATGTCAGACTACATAAAATGGCCTATAACATGAAAACAAGGTGAGAGTTGTTGGATATATGCAGCAGCCTCTCTTTATCATCATTTCGTTCCTAATTCCAGGCCCAAGAAATCAACCATCTGATTTCTTGCCAGCCGACGGCACAGAAAGCTGTTCGACTGGAGCTGCTGCTACCAGCCAAGCTTGAAAAGATCAGCCCTGGCAACGACGCGGTAGATAAACTAGAGGTGAGCGCTGCAGTGCATTACTTGTGCCTTCTCGGCTCCCCCTGTTTTACATACATTTTTCTCTATCATATAGTTTTCCTTTACACAATAGGAACTGCAGATGATAAGATATAACCATTTTACATTTTACTTGAGCTTGAACTTTAACTTTATTGCCATATGTAACCGGTACTGGTACAATGGAATTCTTACTTACAGAAAGTCTCTCGATTGTAAAACAAGTGTAAAAAACAAAACAAAGTGCAAACAGTGCATCAAGACAATATACAAACTAACAATAGACAATGTGCAAGTAAACATGTAGACAATTTGAATGTAATGACATTAAGGAGTCTGTCCTCAGGTTTAAAAGTGTTTGTCTATCATAAGTAATGACAGACATTGAGCGTCCAACACAAAACAAGAGTATTAACGTATAAATAAACATTAAAACAGTCACACAACGAGAGAGCTTTCTGTAAACCAGCGCCGGAAGTCAAATTTATTTCACATACACTGTTAGTTTTTCATGTGGCACAGGATGGGCACATTTTTACCTCCATACCCTTTTTATAAATGGATAATGGTAACAAGTCCACTGTCCAGGGAGAAAGTCTGGTCCGTTATGGATGCTTTGATGTTTGTACCAAAGCTGCCATATTCATTTCTCTTTCATTAGATTACTTGTAATCTACCTTCCTTTGAAAGGTTACCAGATTTGCTTTGCTATTTCCCATAGTTTTAACATGCATAAAACAAGTACCTATTTTGGCATTGCCGTATTCTGTGCTGTATTCTGCTGTGACAACCCAGGTTCTCCTTTATAGTCCTGCCCCTGCCTGCTGAGTCCACCTCCTCTGCCGCATGCCTTCACAGAGTTAGACAGTCTCCAGCTGGAAATCATCAAAATAAAGGATAAACAAACAAAAAAAATATATTTTGACTTAGGCTGCACTGCTTGCTTCAGGGAAGAAATCTAGTGGAACAAAAAAAAAAAAGCCACACATGAACACACAAATAAAACCTTGAAACCCCGGAACAGTTGTTCCTGCAATGTCCTGTGGTCGAAATACTTTCATTCTTTTGCTTTTTTGCTATCAGTTCCTGCCCAAGTTATGTTATTTAATGGTTTCAGCTTTGGGATTGTTTTCATGGGTAACCAGGATAAGAACATTACACTTGTTTATTTAGTAAAAAGAATTCATCTGGAACCAAATATTGTTCTTTGCAGGGAATACCCTGCACTTATTTAATTGGTTGGCATAATAACTCCATTGCATTTCCGATTACTAGCCCTTACCTAGTGGACATTATTGAAACTAATCTCTCCAGCTGTGTTCTATATGTGAATGAGTTGGGAGGTTGGAATATGAACCAAGGGCTACTCTATGCCATACCTGTGTGTAATTCTAATTATTAATGAGTATACACAAAATAGTAAATGGGCATATTTTTTTTCTGGCATATTGTATATACTCAGTCAATAATAATAATAGTAATAATCAGTACTTCTGATTGCAAATTTTTCATGTGGCTGTTCATTATTAATGTGCACTTTGTATAAGAATTAAATTTGGATATTCATTATTATGTCACTGCTCTAGTACAAAGGGTCTGCAGACAAGCGATCAAATTTCATTACATTTTTTTAAATAAGGTACAGTTCAGATACAGTCTCAATTTGAGACTTTGGATTTGGATGAAAATTTGCACATATTGATTTAATTATTTAGAGAAAAGAGGTGGTTTGTCATCATAGAAGGTTTTAATTGAATAATATAATAAAGTCCATTATATTTTGCTACATGTATTTAAAATTTAACAATTACATTTTTGTTTGTTGTTTTGAAAGGAGCAGATACAGTGTTTAATGTTATCTCAGCCGTTAAGGCCTTTTCTTAAAAACTGCAGTCATATCAGGATTTGCTGAACCCCACCCAAGCGATAAGAAGGTTTATGTCATATACTGAGCATCAAAATAAACTATTGCTCTGTTTATGCTTGTATGTTTTATAAAATCAGGTACTTTATATGGATTTTGGGTATTAATTAAATCTTTTTGATGTCATTTCGGTTAATTGATCATTCATGACCGACCAAATGACCTTTATTTGTCAGAGATGATAGGGCAGAGGTCTTCAGGGGATCTAACCTCTTGATTGCAAGCCTGGTGAAAAGAAAGAAAAATAAAAAAAACTAATATGCTCTGCATATCCACAGAATAATGCCTGCGCAGTGAGTATCTGATGCAGTGCGCTATGTGGACTTGTCAGCTTCGGAGCCTGCCCCTCTTTATCAGTGAATCAGCCTGACTGCCTAGCTCCGCATTGATCAAGTTCTGGGACCTCGCTTGCTACTCTTTAAGCAGGCTGATCCTAACATGATTCCAGCTGGACACCACATGTCTTCATGCTGCTCGTTTAACAACAGCTAAATTGTGAAATGAAAATGTGACAGTTATGCCGTGTATGCCCTTCTCTCAAGAGCCCCTTTCACCATTTGTGAAACAGCTGGGACAACTTGTGACATGTAGGGCTCAGGCCCATGCTTAACCATAGACCAGGTTCTACAAGAGGAATGGGACCGATTCCCACCAGACAGCATGTGCAACCTATTGTAAAGCATGCATGACAGATGTACAGCTTACATTGCTTCCAGTGTTGGCCACACATGCTACTAGCCTTTGATTTTCAAATTAGACCGCCTTGTTGATCAGTGCTGTTGTGCTATGTTAACTCAATCTAAGTCCCATTCTACAAAACATGTTAACTCAATCTAAGTCCCATTCTACAAAACATTTAATTTCTTTAACTATTTGCAGTTAGTGTAAATTTCTTTTGATGTTCAGCAATATTGGTGGTTCACAATAAATCCGAGTTTGAGATTTACTGTTTATTATCAGAAATTATATTTTTATTCATTTTACTTTTAAAAATGTAAAATAGACTAGAAGCTTCAAAAATATTTACACATTATTCAGAAATACTTTTAAGTATAATGATTTTAAATTCAAAATGCAATATTAAGCTTATTCTCATCTTTCTGACCTTGATGGTTTATGGAACTATCTGTGACAAGTAGGTAGCCTAAGACTGTACAAAATAATGTTTTGCATGTATTAAGTGAAACAAAGCATTTTTTTAGAAATGCACATTTAAGAACAAAACAAAAATAGTAACCTTTTAATACACCTGCTTTCCTTAAAAACATATTTTTATTGAAATAATATAGCAGCTAAATGAATCATTCTGTCTACATTAGGGACTTTAAAGTGGAAACCATAAGTCCTGCAGTGAATTTGCTGCACTATTTCCTTCAACTATAAATCTAAAAGGGTTTTTATTCTGCTTTGCTTGACTTACTCTATTCTTTTAGATTTATTATAAGATTTTACTTTTCTCTGGTTCCTGTTTAAATAAATATTTTAGCTGTGCTTTGTGTTCACCCTTACCCATGCTGAACAGGTTCATAAATCTGTCACTAAAGATTTTTGTTCTCACCTCTCACGTAACTTTTTTTTTATTCCACTGAGAAAGCTTTGGGGTGTTTCCCTGGTGACTGCGAGTGTGGCAGTAAAGCAGAGTTCATGCATTATTTTTGACAGCGAGATATCGCCAGCAGTGCAAGCAGCACCTTTGTAGAAACACGCCAGTATTGGTTAACTATTGTAAAGATTAGCTAAAAAGACCATTTCAGCAGGGGTAAGCCAATGCTGCAGCTGTAGTGGTTAAATCGTATTCAGCTGACAATCCAACAAATAAACATTTGGTGTGTCCTGTTCTCTAACACAGCACTGTTGCAATTTTTAATTTGAATTTTTGTCATTGGGTTCAGCTGCAGGAAGTTGCAAAGAAACCCCTTCCTCAGGATATCCCCTATGGCTTGAGGTGTGCCTGTGGAGGATCTTGTGCATGCAAAGCAGATTTTAATGATCTGGTAGCTAATTGCCAGTCTTTCATCGAATGAATGTTATGTTAAGATCATAAATAAGTGAGGAGAGAACTGAGAAGATGCTTCACTCCAGAGTACTTATTGGATCTCTTCCAACAGTCCTTCTCTTAGAAGAACAGTCCTTCTAAGTACTTACCACTTTAAGTCCACATCTCTTTATCAGTAATTTCTGTTTGGCAAGTGCCTTAAATAATTTCTGAGTTGCAGCATCAGTGTCTTTTGTTTCATGCAGACAAAGTTAGCTGTGTGAAGAGGTCCTTTCTTTGTCATAACGGCCAATGTTAAATGTGATAGGCTTAATAATTGCCCAGTTAACTGTCTGTTCTTCTATGCAGTGCCAGATGTATCTAAAATATATACTTGAGTTCTCTTCTTCACAAATGTATATTTCTGTTTTCAAATTTTTATATTTCCTGATCAGCAGCTTTGTGGGTGAATGCCTCATACTTAATTTGTTAATTACATTTTTAAAATATTTTGTTTTCTTTTTTGCCTTGCAGAGGAAAAGAATTGAAGAGATTCTTGAAGACGAAAGGGGACTGACAATAAATCGAACATGAAATCCATTGATGTGCTTTTGTATTATAATTAGTCACTGTTAGGTCACTTGCTTGACCATGTACAGTGTAGCAGCTGCATACAAATAGGACTTTCTCAAGGTAAAGAAAAAGGACCTTATAATTTCTGTACCCCAGTATCAGTATCTTCTTAACAGCCCATACAGCATTTAAAGAAAAATGTAATAGACTGGGTTCTGCAAAAGCTATTTCAGAAAGAGGGTACAATAATAAAGATGATCAAATACAATGCTATGTATAATCAATGTCTTGCAGAGAAAGCATTGATGTCATTGGGAATGACTGAATGATCTTACCCTGAAGATTTAGTGCCGTAGTGGTTTTCCATTTTTTCATGATGTTTTATAAAAACACCCCGGCCATGTCTTTTATTATTTTAATAGTAAATGTGAACAATACAGTTTTGAAAACCAAATCAATAAGCATGTGAAGTTCTGCTCACATTTATTTTAATGTATAGTTTGTCTGCTATTTTGACTCACTGAAGTAATCACTGACTGTTCTCAGAATTGCAGAAATTACAAATCTGTTTTCTTTCCTGGCTTTTGGGGAGCTGTGTTTGCATCAATTCAAAGTAGCAGTCTTTCTAATGAAACAACACGAGGTAAAAAAGGGATGCAGTTGCACAAGTGGTCCCTATTTTCTCATGTAAAATAAACCACAGGGAGGCTCTGTACCCAGTAATTGGTGTGTGGGCTTTTCTTTTCAACCATTGAACAATTGTTTTTTAAATAAAGTGACTCATGATGAGCGGCAAGGTTGCATGGTGATTAACATTGCTGCCTCCTAGTGCTTGGGACCCTGGGTTCAGTTAACGGAGTCCTATCTGCATGGAGTCTGTGCTTGCGTAGTTACCTCCCAATGCTCTGCTTTCCTCCCACTGTCCAAGCACATACTGGTAGGGTATTAGACTTCTGGGAAATCTGGCCCTCATGTAAGTGTGTATGTTTCTGTTTGTGTTGGATGGATGAAAATGGATGGAGTGCAAATCCAGGCCGCTTTCCTCAGCAACAGATGTGTATTCCTAACAAAAGAAAATGGATAACTCATTAGTATGAGCACATGCTTAAAGATAAACAAAGCAGAAGTCCACAACTTTTAAGTTATGAATGAAAGAGCTGTTGATCATCAGTAATTCAGAAAAAAATGTGGGGAATATATTCCTGATGAGTCTCCACCAGCCAACATTTTTGAACAATTTGTAAATCATTTTGCCATGACATTTACCATTCATTGATAACAATCCAAGAATCATCATTTCAATATGACGATGATGTTATGTGTACTACATAAAGTCCTGGTGCTAAAAGCAAAGCTGACCTTTAATTGTACATCAAGGGTACTGTGATCTCAATCTCATTATTTGACCTGTTTGTAATTCTGCTTGTATTACTTGCATGTGTCAACAATTTTACATTATGATGAATTTTATTAAGAATATAATTATTTTTTATTCAAGTTGGCTAATTGAATTTATATTTATTGCAACTGTATCAATATGTTTTGTTTAAAAAGTAATATCTGAACTAACAAAACTAGGAAAATGGAAGAGAATTTACAGTCCTAATCTAGTAACCAAGTCATTCTGCCCTATAACTTTCATTGTGGAAATTCAGTTTTGAAGGCTTGTAATTTTTAAGTTGTTTTGCTTGAAAGCAATGGATTTTGCTGGTATAATTCCAGCATGTTTTATTTTGATACATTCCACATTCAATTTTAATGGTCATTTTTTAATGAAGTAGAGCACTGAGTTATTAGGTATTTAACTGTCCAAAGCACAATTAGTCTATCTACTGCTAAGAGAGACTTTTATTGCACCTATCATAAATACATCACTGACCCACTGAGGTGTATAAGAAATTAAACAGTATATTGGTAGACACACAATATTGCCAGAGTATTTCACATGATGAGTTTGGAAACTTTTATTGACTACAAAAACTTTGATAGCTAATTGCACTTTTTATCATTTGTTGGAAAACCAATCCACTGGATAAAGACCTGCAATGAGATTTAATGTAGTACAAAGTATGCTCCAATAAATAATGGATGTTGTGATAATCTGAAAATAAATGTATAGTGTACATTACAAAATGTTTTTTAATGTTTTAATAATCTGCAAAGCCTATCTAGCATTATATTCAAAGATGTATCCAGTTACTGATTAAGCTACATACATTGGATTAGAAATGTTGCCATATACTTCAGTCATCCACCCACATCTTGCCCACTCCAAGTACTATTCAATAAGACAACAGGTGGCTTTGTTGATTGTTATTTGTAAAGAATCTATGTGGAACTTCACTTTATGGGGGTTACAATGAAAGATCAGGAAGTTACGTTCACTCTCACAGCTGCCCTAACACGTAATCATTCCTGACATCAGTTTAAAAAAGTATAAATACCAGTATGTCAGCCCCTTTTACTTTGCATTTTGTCTCCTTTCTGCAGCCCCTTGGTGGACTTCTCACACTGCCTCAGCCAAGCAGATTAAGCCAGATCTTACTATAACTAAGTGATCAGGAAAATCTTCAATACATTTCATTGTTGGGTGGTGTTATTCCACGTGAACTGAGTAAACTAACAGCATTAAGTATGTGATTAGATGCAGCACTTACGTTCTTTGACAATGGACAGATCTAAGTTTAAATTAAAATATTGCAACCACAGTACAAACTGAGCCATTTGCAAAATTTTGGAGTGTGCGTACTATACCTGCAGTTCATTCAGTATGAGTGCGTCAGTCAGTAGATAGCACAATTACCTATGTCTCTGATATAGCAGAGGTACTTAAAGCCACACTTTAAAATGGATCAATTGAGTCCTGGTTTTTCCATGTCCTTAGATTTAATAATACATACACCTCAGTATACCTGCCCACATTCCAGTGGGAGGCTTTGTAATGAGAAAAAGCTGACAATTGTTCTGTCATTTCTCTGAAATGCCAGTCAAGACTGATAATATTCCCTTAGGACACGTGGCATCTAGGATGAGCTGCTATAGCTGTGAACAGTAACCATTAGCTACAATTTATTAGATCAACTGCTGGTGAATCATATTTCTTCTCTGCCATTTCTCTTGCATTACCACACATAGGAGCACATAAGCCAAATCACTGAAAAGGTTATTATCTGTGATTGACTTAGGGGAATCTTCCTTGGTTTCATAATATTGACAGGGTTCCAGTAGAGTAGGCTGACATTTCAGAGGATGTGTCTTTTTTTTCTTAAAATTTCCGTTGTAGTTCAAATATTGCACTGCACCAGATTTAAAAGTTACATCAGTTTTTCTACTAAATACACCCCACACATACACTCCCCCTCAAGGCATTAGAGTTTACTACAATCAAATGAGGTATATGCAGAAAAAACATATAATTCATGACATAGTTAAATATCTCTGTAATCTAAATAGTCTGCATTAAATGTTCCTTGAAAAGCAATTTTGTTCTTGCCCACAAAAGAAAAAATATATAATTTAATTTCTAATAAGTAGAAATATATTTTAAGAAATACAGAAATCTTAGGATTGTGAGATTTAAAATACTGTGCATAAACATCAGTTGTGGAAACATCGTTGAAAGCAAAACACTGTAACAAAAGAAATTAAAATCTTTGAATTCTACTATGTTCCAAAATTATGATCACCATTGATAAAACACCTGACCTGCTTTTATGACTGAGAGAACAAAAAAAAACTGAATTCAGGCTGTAACATACAATTAACATTTTTAACTGATAAAAGCACAAACAAAACCTGATACACTAATTTGCATTGAATACAATGGCAAAATTTAAAGATGTAGTTGTTTTTCACAGACATCAGAAGAGATTCTAGTGACACCAGCTGGCCGGTCTATGCATTGCTTATTAACTGTAAATTGAAATCGGCAGTCACAACACTTCTAAGGGAAAGAAAGCTGATAAAACAGAAAGAAATGTGTTAAAAATCAATTAAAGTTAGAGGTCATTAGCAGGAAAGGTCTGTAAAATAGCGTGGTTACGGGTTTTATAAAACATCTGACCGCCACTACGCATTTTCCTGGGAAGAAGTCTTAAATGGATACATTTGAGATAATTATAACCTTGAGGTCTAAAAGAAGATTTAATTTGTCCTTTTTTAGTGATCTTACTTGCACGTCGATTTTCTTATACATTTTAAATCTATTATGTGACCGGTAAAGGTATGATTTATGATTTAATTTGCTTATTAACCTTTTGTGTTCCCAACAGTCGGCGTTAAGCATGAAGAAATATCAAGACTGTCATCTGTCTTACGAACGACTCCTTCCTTTATGAGATTTTAAGTCTCTGCAGCATTTTGAGTATAAATTCTGGGTGTATACACTAATTACCCGGCTCTTTCTCTTCTTTTTGATTGAGTCTACCATGGTTTATTGGTGGAGTTTGGCGACATCTACTGAAACTTTGGAGAGCGGGCGACCGTTCACCTTCGTTTAAAACCCAAGAAGATAAGAACAGAAGTCCAAGACTGTATATGACAATATAGTAAAGTAAATACAGAAATAAAAAAGAAATGATTCTATCGCCAATAAGACGAGTTTCCTCTAGTTTTAAATTATGATTACTTACAGCAGGAACAGGACTTTGCAACTAATCGTATAGTTATGGATTAGATTTTTTCTAAAACACTCACAATGTCCTTCAGTCATAATACTGTATGTTATTATATCTAAAATGTTAGTGACAGTGAGATAGATACTTTATTGATCCCGTGAGGGAAATTGCAGTACAACAGCAGCTTAACACAGACAACACAGCAACAGTATAACGAATGATACAATAAAAATAATAAGAAGAATACAATAATACAATAGATACTCACATTAAATGCTATTTGAGATTTCGCCTTGTTTTCAACTTGTAACAGAGAAATTAGCTCTAAACAAAATGATAGATGGAAAAATGGCTCTGAATTGAAATCTTGATCAGAAAAGGACAGTGAAAATGTCTGCACAGAAGCAATTACATTGTCTTTACATCTCAATAGGAACTTGGCGTGGGCATTGATTCAAATAAAATAAGCAACCAACAGTCTGATTTTTTTAGATGTTTTGAACTACCGTTTTGGCACTTAGAAAATATGAATTATTTTTGTTGCTTAACGATTCTCCAAACAGGTATTTCGTTTTTCTTGTGATACATATTACACCAAATGTTCAAATTTACTATTTGCATCATCTACAGGCACCATATAGGTTTTGGATGT